TTTCTTTTTCTTTTTGACGATGTATTTGGTGTGTCCCTGCTAGTTTAGCTAACAGGCTAACCCTAAATAGGTAAAATCTTCCTTCTTCCTTTACTTTTTGATTTCATCTTATTTTATTTCAGTTTAATATTTATAATTAATTATAACTAGTTATGATTAAGTATTCATATTCCCCTATGAGCTGATTCGCTACACAATTCTTACTTTTTTTGTATGCATGATACAAACTCGCAATTCTGACTTTTTTCTTCTTCTCAGAATTGCAAGTTTATGTCTCACAATTCTGTGAAAAAGTCAGAATTGTGAGATAAAAAGTTGCAATAACCTTTTATATATTTTTTTTATTCAGCGGTGGAAATGGGGCTTCCATAGGAATCGGATACTTGTTGTAAAATTTAAATTTTATCCACGTATCGATTTCTGAGTGCACATCTTTTTTTTTTTTCGGTGAGGACCTGAAGTGGTGATCTGCAGGACCTTCCTCGCTAGTCTAAGCACTCCAAAGTTTGGCTACACTTGCGATCTGCAGCCATAAAAGCTAAGCTAATAATATTTGTGATAAGCTAACATGTTGCAAGAGAGGTGTCACCACCAACATGACAAAGCACTTTAATTTAACATACCGTTAAAGATCGCGAACACGATTCAAACACCAACGTGATCTTATTCCTAAATGACAATGATTCAGCTGTTAAACCTTTGACGTGTGCGATCGATGACAACGGTGTGATTTAAACATTCAGATCTGACCTAAAGAGAGCAGCTGTCATGTATATGTATGAAACAGCTTCACAAGCAGTCTTTTCAACCACACAGTATCATTATTTCTGTGTTACAAACATTCAAATAATCACAGAAGTACGGGGATAAAAGTTGAAAGTAATTTGACGCTTCAAATAAAGATGCATCGATTACATTGTTACGCCAGTAGGTGGCGAAAAAGAGCTGTTAAAAATGTATTTGTCTTTGAATCATTCATTCAAGAGATTCATTCAAAAACGCTGATTCATAAAGTAATGAAACAAGTAAATCTTGAGTGAGTCATTTAATCATTCATAAATTACATGTGATTTTGTTTGGTTGTCTTATGTTTTTTTCTTCAGAATTGTGAGAGAACCATAACCTCCATTTAAAAAAAAAAAAACTAAATTTATCCAGAATCGTGCAGCTCTACTAATTGTTTTTAACTACATTGTTTAAATTACACATAAGGCAGATTTATATCAACTTGTTAATGATTTAATTGTTTCGACTCCAATTCGTTGTTAAACATTTAATTGGTGGCTGTAATAAAAACTCATTTTCATGACATGTATTCAAACATACATTAAATGAGACATTTAAGTACAGATATGTTATGAATTTAGTGCATATATTTATCAAAACGCTCTCTCAAATATTTTTTCTAGTTGACTAATGAATTCATGGACATGAATGACTTTCCTGAGGTAAATGTAACATTAGGTGGCATGTTTTTCAAGCTGTTTTATTGACGTCTTTCCACAGCTGAAACACTGATTGAGTGATTGAATTTTCTGATAAAATTGACAGAGTTTGAAAGCTGAGACTTTAGTAACAAAGCACAAAGCTTGTTGTGATAATTGATGACAGATGCGCTACAGATTATGACACATCACCTGAAAACTGCACAGAATAATGATCAATCTTGGGATTTAAGATTCAATAGACGTTCATCAAAATCAAGGTAGATTAAAATCAATTCATTGATATTGTCAACCAAACCCAAGTAAGAGAGAACAGATTCTCAACAGGTCATGGTTGTTTCAATAATGTCCGCAGAACAAACATTTCGAGTTAGTAATTACTCATTCATGAGCTTCGACATTTGAATCGACATGGATGGTGTTTTTGTTGTTCTTTTACATTAACATTCTTTAAAACTCTTCATCTGACATTTGTGTTTTCTCATATTTCCCTGTTTTCAGTTCAATCGCTGCATCACGTCTCAGCTGATCAAGTGGTTCAGTAACTTCAGAGAGTTCTACTACATCCAGATGGAGAAGTTCGCTCGTCAGGCCATCATAGACGGCGTTAATGATGTGAAAGACGTATCCGTCACCAGAGAGTCCGAGCTCTTCCGCGTACTCAACATGCACTACAACAAAGCCAACGACTTCCAGGTACTTACACGAGCCACCATATAGTACAGCAAATAATTATTGTAATATATAATAATTCATGTTTGATAGAACTAAAATCTGCAGATACTGCAATGATTTTCTATGGAATCGATGTAAACATGGTAAAATGTGTTAAACAGCTGAGAGATCTACAGATCAAATTAGCCGAATTAAAAGAATATTCTAGTACACATGAAGTTCAAACAGCATTTGTGGCATAAAGTTGATTACTTCTTAAAAAAAAAAAAAACCTGATATTACAGTAACACTCACAATAGAAGTAACTGGGGCCCATTGTTGGAGGATGTAAAAGCTGAAATGTGTTTATAGTATTAAAAAAAGCACACATGCATTATTTTAACATTAATTATTATGTTAAAACCTGTGTATTTGAGCTTAAAGCTGATTAAATCATTTTTACGATTGTTTTAGGGTTTACCTGAGTTAAATAAGTCATGATGTATTAAATATAAAATATTTTTTCACACTAAAAACATATACTGTGTGCATTTTGTGGCTAATACTATTGAAATATTGACTTTTTTGATGTTTACAGATTTGCCTCTTTTACTTTCATTGTTAGTACCTCACTGCAAATAGATTTTTTATTATTATTTTTTTAATTATATGAGCCAAAATTAATTTGCTGTAGTAATCAACATAAACCACGAATGCTGTCAATTGAGCTTAACTTGTACTGAACCCGGCTGCTTAAATGAACATGCAAAAGGTCAAGAATACGCAGAACTTTCTAAATGAGCGTTTGCATTTCACAGAAATGTGGGCCTGTTATTAAACAGTTATTAAACAGCTACTCATTGAAATGACATTGATCATTTGCTAAATAAGCTTCATTCAGTTCAGCTTTACTTTTAATGGAACGTCCTGTTAAAATGCACATCAGAGATTTAGTAAGAGTTGTGTGAACTCCGTAAAGACCAGCATTACTGCTCACCAGCATACAGTGTGTTGTGTTTTGGATGCTGATCTGCAGCAAGGCATGCTTTTGCAACCTGCTTCACCATCAGGATGCTGGTCTAAGCTGGTCGGCTGTCCTCGGTCTGACCTGTGTGTCAAGCCACACCTGTAGCTGTCCGGCCGTAGACCCCCATTATCCCTGAACCTGGCGCTGCTGCATCAAACTGTGGGAAAAGGAAGCTGCAGCATCTGCTAAAACAACTTGAGATTACGACCAGGCCACGCCTGACTGCTGTTTGGATTACTACTGATGCGAAAGAAGCCAGAAATCCCAAGAGTGACTGGCCGGCCGATGGGAACGAGCGGAGACAGTTGTCTTTACCTCAGCACCAAGACATTCCTTTCCCAGGGCCCGCTTTTGTGTCTGGAGATGCACGAGAAACAAACGTGTCAACAGTGAGCGGAGCTACTCTTGGGGAAATAATGCCAGCGGATAGATCCACCTTCTTCCCACTCTCACACCCGAGCCGGGTCCTTCAAAGTGATGTGGTGAGCAAGGGTGTGAAGCAATGCCTGAATTCCTGCGATGGGAACCGGGTCCTTAAATGCATTTTCCGAGCAGTTAAGTTCAAAGCAACAGGCTGCAAAAAATCAAAGCACCCATCCACACTGCTCTTCTAATGATTCTGACACTGTATTTGCTTTATTGCCACTGTGAACAAAGAAGCATTGCGCTTTAAAACGAGAACATTAAAGATGGTGCATAGAGATCAAGGGCCTGACGGTGTTGACTCAGAGTTCCCTGGGCATGAACAGTCGGTAAGCATGCGTGACGCTTCATAAGTCGAAGAGGGCAATGCATGGATTCTGACACTGACTTCAGTCACTGAGGCCGAGCTGCATGACATGAATCTGCAGTTACGCTGGACCATTGGTTGCTAGGGTGTTCTGGAAGGTTGCTTGGTGCTTGCATGTTGGTTCTGGGTAGTTGCTAGGGCATTCTGTGTGGTAACTAAGGTGTGGTTAGATGGTTTCTAGGTATCTGAATGGGTGTTGTAGGTGGTTGATAGTGCATTCTGGGTAGTTGTTAAGGCATTGTTTGCAGGCTAGTGTGTTTTGGGTGGATGTTAGGTGGTTGCTAGGTGTTTGCATGGAGGTTGTGGGTGGTTGCTAGGTGCTTGCATCAATGTGCTAGGTGGTTGCTTAGGCATTTTAGGTTTTTGCTAGGGTATTTTGGGTGGTTGTAAGGTTGTTGCTAGGATATTCTGGGTGGTTGTTAGGTTGTTGCTAGGATATTCTGGGTGGTTTCTACACTCTAAAAAATGCTGGGTTGTTTCAACCCAACGTTGGGTCAAATATGGACTAACCCAACCGTTGGGTTAAATTTTTACTTTTCAATTTTTAACCCAAAAGTTGGGTTAGTCCATATTTGACCCAACGTTGGGTTGAAACAACCCAACATTTTTTAGAGTAGATGCTTACTAAGATGTTGTTAGGTGGTTTCTAGGCTAGTGTGTTTTGGGTAGTTGCTAAGGCATTTTTGGTTGTTACTAGGGTGTTCTGGTTGGTTTTCTAGGGCATTGTTGCATGGTTTCTAGACCAGTGTGTTTTGAGTGGTTGTTAGGTGGTTGCTAGGGTGTTCTGGGTTGTTGCTAATGAATTATAGGTGGTTTCTAGACTAGTGTGTTCCGTGTTGTTGCCAAGGCATTTTCTGTTGATATGGTATTCTGGTCGGTTGTTAGGTGGGTGCTAGGTGCTTACATGGTGGTTCTGGGATGTTTCTAGGCTAGTATGTTCTGGGTGGTTGCTATGGAGTTTTAGGTTGTTGCTAGAGTATTCTGGGTGGTTTCTAAGGCATTGTTAGGTGGTTTCTAGACTAGGGTGTTCTGGGTGGTTGTTAGATACTTCCATGGGTGTTGTGTGTGGTTGCTAAGGCACTTTTTCTATGCTAGCGCGTTCTGGGTGGTTGTTAGTTGGTTGCTATGGTGTTTTGGGTGGTTGTCATGTGCTTTCTTGGGTGTTGTGGAAGGTTTCTAAGGCTGGGGTATTCTGGGTGGTTGTTAGGTGCTTGCATGCTGGTTCTAGGTGGTTGTCAGGGCATTCTAGGTGGTTACTCTAATGTCGTTAGGTGGTTTATATGATAGTGTGGTCAGGGTGGTTGTTATGTAACTACATGGGTGTTTTGGATGATTGCTAGTGCATTCTGAGTGGTTGTTAGGTGGTTGCTAGGTGCTTGCATGGATGTTGTGGGTGGTTGCTAAGGCATTATTAAGTGGTTTCTAGGCTAGTGTGTTATGGATGGTTTCTAAGGCATTTTATGCTTCTGTGTGGTAACTAAAGTATTTTTAGTTGGTTGCTAAGGTGTTTTGGGTGGTTTCTATGTGCTGGCATGGGTGTTGTGTGTGGTTGCTAAGGTGTTCATAGGTGGTTTCTAGGCTAGTGTGTTCTGGGTGGGTGCTAAGGCATTTCAGTTTGTTTCTAGGGTACTCTGGGTAGTTATTAGGTTGTTGCTAAGGTATTCTGGGTGGTTGCTAAGGCATTGTTAAGTGGTTTCTAGGCCAGTGTTTTCTGAATGGTTGCTAGGGTGTTGTGGATGGTTGTTAAGGCACTGTTAGGAGGTTTCTAGGCTAGTCTGTTGGGTGGTGTTTAGGGCATTTGAGGTTATTGCTTGAGTAGTCTAGATGGTTGTTAGGCTGTCTCTAGGGTGCTCTGAGTGGTTGCTAGGTGCTTGCATGGGTGATGTGGGTGGTTGCTTGGGCATTGTGGGTGGTTGTTAAGTCATTGTTAGGTGGTTTCTAGGGTGTTTGCTTGAGGTGTATGCAAGGTACTTGCCTCGGGCTCCTTCTTCAACATGCGGATTGTTTCAGCTGTTTTCTGGTCCAGCAAGTGAAAATGGTGCATCTGATAACTTAGTTCAGTATCAGCACACATGATCTGAGGAATCATTCATGTCTGGAGCTCAAAAACTGCACTTAAGCACTCATCTTTAATACTCACTGCCAGAGGTTTCATCACATCACTAGTGAGGATTAACTAACAGCCCTAATTAGCCAGCATGACTCTATATAGTGCTTCAGTCAGTGATGCTGTGCGGTGACTGATGTGTGTTGTAAATGTCCGTCAGGTTCCAGACAGATTTCTGGAGGTTGCTGAAATCACTCTTCATGAGTTCTACAGTGCCATTTCCCTCTCCAAAGACTCGGACCCCTCTTGGAAAAAAGCCATCTACAAGGTCATCTGCAAACTAGACAGTGACGTTCCTGAGGATTTCAAATCACCTTCCTACCTGTAAGCAGAGAGCGCCACCTACAGGACGCTTTATGTGTGGCCACACACACCGTTTATTTATCATGAGTATCAATCATAAATATTCCTTTTTATAAGTGAATTGTCAGCTTTATATAAAAAAATCTAAATATATATTCTTAGTATTTTGTTGTTGACTGAAATGCGTGTGTACGGCAGCAAGTTTTTTTCATGTTGTCTGTGGAATAGGCTTGTTTATTAATAGTTTGGATTTTGGGTTTTAATGTAATATATATATTGATTTCAAAATGCCACTGTAGACAAATGTGTGCTGTGTTTTTAGTTCAAATGTTCCTGGTTATGAAATGGAAAAGCAGTCATGATTTGTGTTTTAATGTGGATTTGTCTGTTGAGTTTCCTCTGTGGAGTATCTCATGAAACATCTGTAATAATTATTTTAAAAAGATGTAAATAAGTGTAATTTAGCTGTATAATAGGTGGAATATTGACGTTTACAGATAAAAACAGAATATTGCATGTAGAAGCAGTTCCCTCAAATTTTGACAATATGCTTATTTATCATGTACATTAGTTTGAATATTAATGTTTATCATTATCTAGCAGTGTGTGGGTTTTCATTTAATAATAAAAGATTCATATTGTAGCAGTTTTATATTGTATGCTTTCTTATGGTTCAGATATATTTGCTTTCTTTAAACAAATAAATAATTCACAAAAAATATTTAATAATAAATAAATAAAAATAAAAGTCTGTCATTATTTCCTCACTCCTATCACAATCCAAATTCAAATTCACAATTCAGATTAAAAATTGGCGCTTTTATGCTTTGCCACCAAAATGACATTAATTGGCAACATTTACATGCACCCTAATAATCTGTTAATAATCAGATTGACCGGTCACTCAGACTGAAAAACCTTGATGTAAAATGCCTCTAATGATCCAGTTGAGCTCGATCCGAATCAGACTGAAATGGGTGGTGTAGATGTTAAATTTATATAAAACTTTGAATCTGACTGCTTTATTAATCATTTTCAAGCCCACATTGTGCAAATGTGCAATGTTATAAATACAAAGCTTTTCTGATATTCTGATATGTATTTTCTTATATTTTAGATGTCAATATGGCAAGATTGCAGTTAGTTTCACTCCCAACAGATGTAATGCACATGTAAACTATAATATATTAAATGGATTGCAAAGTTTAGGGCAGATATAAACAATGCTTTTGGCATCTGTGATCGGATTGGATTCATTCCAACTGAAGAAAATCAAGGCAAGGCAAGTTTATTTATATAGCACATTTCGTACACAATGGTAATTCAAAGTGCTTTACATAAAAGAAAGTAAAATAATTATAAAAAATAATCACACAAATAAAACAAGGAATTTAAAAACTTTGAAAATGATTTAAAAATTGATTGAAAATGAATTTAAGACAGTTAAAAATAGAAAATTATTATACATATTGCATAAAATACTGTTATCAAGATTGCTCTTTTTCAGAAAACACACAGAAAAGCAGTGCGTGTAAACGCACCCATTGTAGTGTGTGTGCTTTATAGAGTTGGACAGTCGTGGTCACTCTGGCTGAATGAGAAAGAGCTGTGTGAAGATTCTGTGCTTTACACATCAAACAGCAGCGTACGTGTTTGGCCCAATGACACAGTTTCCATTTTTGGATAAACTAGGCCTATCCTTTACCCTTTCAAAGCTCCTAATGGCTGTTTTCCTGTTCTGCTAACTGGACGTCCCCCATGTAAGTGTGCAAAGCTCCATTGAAAACATCTTTCCCTGAATCCAGGCCACTAAGGTGAAACTAATCCACGATATAAAGGCAGCGCAGGAAAGTATGCCGCGCACATTGTTTCCTGTGGCCAATTCAAGGCACATTTCTAAGGCCGCATTCATTGTGAGGGACACGCGAGCTCTCGCACCGGCTGTGTCTTAAAAACAACAACAATGCATTCTCTCCTCATGAGTAATGTGCAACATGACCTCATAGCAGAGATCTGCAGCCGCTGCAGAATTCCAGCCGCGCAGCTGCTCCTCCTCCAAGCACCCGCGCAGTCGACTCATCACTCCTGCCTGACGCTTCCAGCGCCATGTCTGTCTGCGTCGGTTCTGGTGCATTTACACTAAACTCTGTTCACAATCTGTTATTTACATTTGATGTGTTCTAGTAATAAACATGTATTATTGTCCTGAAAATGCTGTGGAGTAGGGAACAGTGGGGCTGCGTCTTTTCTGTTCCTTTTTGGTTCTGTTTGCTCATTTTAGACCTCAGGATCCATGTTGCAGCATGCATTGGTGCTGTTTTACTGCTGTGCATTGTATATACTGTTAACCGTGTTACTATGGGTCCAAAAACCGAAGGTGCTGCAACTCTATTGTATTTGTATTGTTTTGCCAATTATTCTTTTTGTGCCCTAAAAGTGTCTGAACATTGGAGACTGTAAGTCATAAAGATCTCAAAATTGGTGAGATGGTTCCAAATCTCAAAAACTACACAGGCACCCTCACACACATGCATCGGACACTAGGTGGCGCTGTAATATATACTTTTGCATTTTACTTCAGATCTCTAGAACCATAAAGGCTAGAATCACAGTTCCCTTTCATGGGAACTTCAAACTGCGTCCTCTAGGGGTTGCTATGGGGAATGCCTGGTCGTGACCCGTGTCTGAAGCATACATTGAAAAAACACCAACAACATGTTGGCCGGCGACAGCCATGACGTCACTACCGGTGCGACTATAGTATAAATAGGCACTGGGAGAACACATCATCCTCTTCTTCGTCTTCATTGACTGTTTTTCCATTTTGAAGAGCACGTACGCGATGTCTCCGAGGGGGCAATCGGCGTGCACTGCGAGCGTTTTTCCAATGAAAAAGCTCCGCTCTCGTTTGTCTCTCTTTTCGAGGAAAGAGGGG